CTATACTACCTCTACCTTTACCTACCGTCCCAGTTTCAAGACAGCTTGCCAAGGCCTGCAAGGAGAGTTGCTTAGTGTCCATCCCATCCATAAAGGGCCTGCCCCGGGGCTTGGTTTATTTGTGAGAAGTGAGGGCCTAAAAAGTCTTGACATAAGAAGCGTATGTGCTTGCATGAATGCTCGAACCAAGCCTGGCTGCTCATCAAGTCGCAAGTCTTCTTGGGCCTGTATTGGGGCGGGGTGGGGTGGGGTGGGGTGGGGTGGGGTGGGGTTGGGGTGGGGTGGGGTGGGGTGGGTGGTATGCCTTCACCAGCTCAGCAAGCAAGCGAGAGCAGCAAATGTGCAAACATGTTGCAGCTTCGATTCACCAGAGACGGACTATGCTGATGTCGTGTGGCATGCGTGTTCAGACACACACACACATGAACATGTTTCCATACAGTTTTTTGAGATCTGATTCTTCCAACAAACATGTTGTCAGCTTCGCCTTTCGAGTCAGTGACAGATCAGTGCCATGCAATCTTCAACTGTAGTGGGCAATGTGCAGTTGAGCAGCAAATTTCGTTGTTTTTCTACATGTAACTTCTAATCTCTTGGGCTTTCGGGTAGACTGATACGCAGGTTGCTTTAGCTGGCACTAACAAAGCGCAGTCAGCCAGTCAGCCATGGATGAGGGATCAGGTAGCAGTGTTGCAGATGCCGACCCTGTTGACCAGGGGGGTTCGCACGACTTGGAAGCAGATGCCATCTCATCGCCTGGCCGTGGTTTAAAGCGTAGAAGAGCTGGCGGCAGCAACTGGTATCCCCCTGGGCCCACTACCCTAGAGCAGGTTCTCTTGAGCAACACGACAAATCTGCAGAAGTTGCTTCGTGACAGCACAGCGTCTGGGCCCAGTGCCCGGCGAAACTTGCTGTGTCTTGGGCAGGTTCCTGTTGTTGCAACATCCTGCTACTCGGGCACGGGATGCTTCGAAGGTGTCATGCATGATGTTATGCAGCAGCTGCAGAGTGAAGTGCAGGGCCTGGGTTTGTTGCCAGGCAAGTTTTGCAGTTACGCAGCCACAGAGCTGTGCTCAGCAGGGCAAGAGTGCTTGATTCAGAATAAACATGGCATTGCGCATGTTTTTGAGGATGTGCTCGGGAGGTTGCCGGCCCACACAAAAGCCGATGCCTTGGCTTTGCAAGAGTCAGCATTGGAGGACTACAAAAACTTGCAAGAAGAATTGCGACTGGGCCAGATAGACAAGGAGTTTTTTGTGAAGTCCAAAGCGCGCATGGAGGATAACTATGTCCAGAGCTTGAAGTCAATGTTGGAGTGCATCGAGTTTAATGATACCGACTTTTGTTTGGTGCATGAGAAGCAGTGCTACATTTCCCCTCGGCGTTGCGAGTGGCTGAAAGAGTCTTACTGGATTGAGTGCAGTGGAAATACATGCTGCCCATGGTCGCAGATGTCCACATACAATGGGTGGCTGGATGCTGCCACGTTGCCTTTTCTTGTTTGGGCGTACAGCACTAGGTACTATGAGCCTGATACAATTCTGCAGGAGAATGTGGCCCGATTTCCTGCAACCGTGCTGTCCGAGATCATGGACGACTTCTCGGATGGGGTGCTGAAGGACATTTGCACCAGGCCTTTTGTCGCATCCGAGGGTTCGTGCAGAAAGTACAACATGACAGTGCAGGCGTTTTCTCCTGTTGATTTGGGCATTCCGAGCCAGCGCCAGAGACAATACACTGCTCTCCATTTAAGCCCCTGGGTTCAGTGCGACTTTCAAAGCAGTTTTGAGGCATTGTTTTACCGGGAGCTGAAGTGCACTGCAATGATCTATCTTGCAGCAATCTCAGAAGCTGAGCATGAGGCTGAGGTCATACATAGAGCCACGGTCTCAGCCGAGAAAGGAAAGATTCAATTCGTGGAGGGTGAGCCAATTGAGCAGCAACATGCTTTGCGGAGAGGAGATTGTACCCGCCTTGAATCATGGCAGTGCTTCTGCAATGGTAGGCCTGGCTTTAAGGATGAAGACGGCTCATGGGTTACTCCTTTCGCGTTGGTGGATCTGACCCAGAATGCTTCATATTCGAAGCACGTCTCATGTGACAACATGCCTTGCCTTTTGACGCACACGCAGCTATGGGACTTGAAGTCAGAAAAACTGGTCCCAGTGGCAGTGCACTGGCTGGCACAAGGCTTCCCGCATCCAGCTGCAACGGGCCTTAGCAGCAACGTGCTTTCCAAGCTCCCTTTTCCAGGCTCCTTGCTGGCGCCTGCCAGGGACGGTGCTTTGGCATACAGTGCTCAGCGTTCGTTGGCAGGAAATGCCATGCATGCTTCAAGTTTGGGAGCATGGATTTTGTTCAACAGCAGTGGTGTCAACCTTGCCCGAGTGCTGTCATCGACTCAGATGTAAGTGAGAGTGCGACCGATTGCCAGCTGCGTCCGTGGTGTAGTGTAGGATTCAATTTTCACCAAACCCGTAGCAAGCTCTGCAGGTGTGAAAACAGCAGCATCGCCACTATCTGCTGAAGCTTTCTGCAAGGTTTCGCAGCAAACTGTTGAGCTCCTTCACTCATGTGCGCTGTAGCACTTAGGTGTGCATAGCTTTCATGGCAGCCGGCAACTTGTAGCATTTTAGGCGTCGAGTGTTGAGTCCCAAGTTCCGGGGCAGTGCGAGTGCATTTCTCGGCCAGTGAGACATGTCAGACCTGGAAGATGAACGAGACCTCGACTTGGAAGAGGATGACGATGCTCAGGACGGTGATCGTGATGATGAAGCAAGCCAGCCCCCGCCCGAGGAGGACGCCGATGAAGCTCCACAGCGACGTGGGCGAAAAGGCCAGGGCAGGGGCAGGGGCAAAAGGTTGAACCTTGTCAATGACTTCGGCAAGTCCCGTGGCTTCGCAAAGGACGGCAAGAAGTACTGTGCTCCTTGTGGGAAATGGCTTCCCCTCTCTTCTTTCCCTGCTGGCTCAGCACAGTGTGGCGAGGATCGCAAGGCCATCCAAAACTTGGCCAGTCTGTCCAAGAAGCAAGGGCAGGAGGATTGGTGGCAGGAAACAGTCGCAGATGTCAAGAAGCTCAAGGCTGTCGTCAAGGCCTACAAGGCCTTGAAGCCACCTCCCGGCAAGAAGCTGAAGGAGTTCGTGATCCTTCAATACATCGAAGAACGCAGGCGGGAGTCGGCTGTGTTGTATGATGGGGTCCTCGAGATGATGACCTTGCGAGGCTATATGGCCTGGATGGCTAAGCCCAAGAATGGTGGCCTAGATGCAGAGACTGCAACGACTCAGTGGAGAGAGAAGTTCAATGCCCCCGGTGCAATCACAGATAAGAAAGGGGACCATCCTCGCTTTCGGGATCGTGTTGCCATTTCAACCAAAGACTTGGTTGTTTTCCGTGACGCCGACATCAAGGCCCAGTCTTACCTCCTGAAGGACAAGGAGTCGAAGAACGTGGACCAGGCGGAAATCGACAAGGCGGAGCTTCGCTTGAACAGGGAGAGGCAGCTGAAGGTGAGCAGCGACAGGTCGCGCACAGATCAGGCCGGTACCATGATTACAGCTGCGGAGGCAGCAGGAACAGAAGGTGCTTTCAGTGCCGATGGGAAGATAGCTGTACAAGTTGGGGACGTGAGGAACCTGATTGAGGATGATGCCGACAATGACCAGATGGAGGATGAAGGCCATGATGGTGACTCGAATTCCACCCCCAGCAAAACCAGGAAGCGGGATGAGGAGTCAAACCCAGCTTCTGGCTCCAAGCCGGGCAAGAAGCCGAAAAGGGAGGCTTGGTTTGACAGAGACGGTGCAGTGACCTCTGCTCTCAGATCCCATTCCCAGTGGCTTTCTACCACCAAGGCTACCATCAGCAGCACCATCAAAGACCTGACAGGTACCCTTTCGAACGTTACCCTTGACGTGAAAGAGGAAGTCAGGAACGAAACCAGGCTCGCGAAGAGCCGCTTGAGTGCATTGAAGCTTGTAATCTCAGAGAAGGCTTCAGGCGAGTCGGGGGCACCTGATGCACCGGCGACGCCTGATGTTGCAGATGCATCCACAAAGACAGCGAGTGACCAGCCGGCAGCAGCAAAGCCAGACCCTGCAGGCCCAGACCAAGGCAAGCCTACCGAGGCAGAGGCAGGGGTTGCAAAGGCGGCCGAAGCAGCACAGCAGGCACAGGCGGCCGAGGCAGGACAGCAGGCACAAAAAGGGGCGGAGGACAGCGCGAGCACAGTGCAGAAGTTTGCCGTCGACAATGATGCCAAGAAGGCCCTGCGAAAATACATCGCCCAGTTCAGTGACCCGAATTCGCAAAAGGTGCTTGGGAGTGCTCCTCCTTGTCGCTCCTACCAGTCACTCATCCTCTTTTCGGAGTTCGAGGCCTACCTCGGCAAGTTCGAGCAGATTGAGAAGAAGGATGACATCGTGCAGCTGCAGCAGGAGATGAAGGCCTTTAAGACGGCATACTCCGATTTGATTTCCATGGCGAAGGCGGCCAACAAGCGCCTCGAGGCTGCGATTGACGGGGTGGGGAAGAGGAAGGCTGCAGCGGCGACAGAAGCGAGCACGAGTGGGAAGGGCAAAGGCAAGCGAGCTCGTGCTGCCAAGAAGGCAGAGCAGCCTGCTGCTGCCACAGCCTTTGTTGACCAGCCCAATGGCGTTGCCGCAGACATTGCCAGTGTCGTTGTCAAGGAGGATGGTAGCTTGGCCTCTGGGCTTGATGTCTCCGTTCCGGCCATCTTGCGACTTGAGGCTGCGCACTTCAAGCGCGAGGACATTGCCTCGATCAAGGCTTCCACTTTGCCGCACCTCGAGGCGAAGTTCAAGAATGATCCGGCTCGGCTGGCGTCGGGGCGCTCCCAGCGCAGCTTGCCACAGGAACAGGAGAAGTCGATCTCTGACCTCATCTTCAAATGCTTCCCCGAGGGCCATATCTTGGCACGTGAGAAGTTGACTGACAAGATCAATAAGGAGGTCCTCGTCCCAGCAGCTTTTGTCGTGGCAAAGGATCAGGTGACAGCCAGTGCAGAGGCAGGTCACTTGCCGACATGCCGTGTTGGCATGAGTGGCACTCGTAGTGTTGTGGCTGTCCGCTCCCTTGCTTTGCTGGACTACCTGACAAAAAGTGGAACCGGTGGCAACAAGGCGACCTTGTCTGCTGCCTACCAATGGCTGAAGTCTACCAGCGTGCAGGCCGCCAAGTCCTTCATCGAGTCCACGGAAGAGAAGGTGGGCGCCCAGGATGTGCTGTACTTGCCGGAGGGCTGGATGTTCTACGAGAAGATCATGGGCAAGTCGAACTTTTTGGGTGTCCGCTTGCAGTTCCTGAGCTTGAAATCCTTGCAACATTTGGAGAAAATCAATAGTTACCTGCTAGCATTGGGAAAGCCTAATGCTGCTTTGCAGTCGGCCGTTGACTGCTTGTCGCTTGCAGAGTGAGGTCTGCTGAGCAAGCATTGGGTAATCCCAATGCGGGCCCTGCGGGCTTTGCAGTCGGGCTTTTGACTGCTTGTCACTTGCAGAGTGAAGTCTCTGCCGGGGTTTTCCATGTCAAGCACTGCTGCGCTGTGCTTTTTCAGCTCTCAGCTCTACCATCCAGACAGCATCGGGGCAAGAAGCCAAACACAGTGCTGGAAGCCTTGCAACTTCTTTGCGTTTTGCGAGCTTAGCCCAAACATGACAGTCTGGGGTTTAGAGTTTAGTTTAGGGCCTAGGGCTTATGGCTTAGGCTTAGGCGTAGGGCTGAAATTTTAAGGCTTATGGGTTTTGGTTTTGGGGTCTCCACACTCACTCACTCACTCACTCACTCACTCACTCACTCACTCACTCACTCACTCACTCACTCACTCACTCACTCACTCACTCACTCACTCACTCACTCATTTACTCACCCACCCACTTATACGCACTCACTCACTCCTCACTCCTCGATCCTCACTCCTCATTATAGATGTCAAACCATAACGCTATTAAAACTTCAGAGTAAAAGTTCTGATCTTTATTGGACAAACTTGTTGTCCAATCTTCATAGAAAAGTTCTTGAACTTCATAGAGAA